GGGGTGCAGGGCAGAAGGCTGAGTGTGTGTTGGGGTGGGTGGGGTTCAGGGCAGAGGGCTGGGGGTAGGGGGGGTGCAGGGCAGAAGGCTGAGTGTGTGTTGGGGTGGGTGGGGTTCAGGGCAGAGGGCTGGGGGTAGGGGGGGTGCAGGGCAGAAGGCTGAGTGTGTGGGGGGGTTCAGGGCGGAAGGATGGGGCTGTGGGGGTGCAGGGCGGAAGGATGGGTGTGTGTTGGGGTGGAGGGGTTCAGGGCAGAGGGCTGGGGTGTGTGGGGGGTGCAGGGCAGAGGGCTGGGATGCTCGGTGAGCGGCTCATGGCAGGGGGCTGGAAGGGATATGCTCTGTTCCACCCCCTTCCCCCAGGCTCCATCCCTACCTCTCTCTGCCTGCTCTACGGAGGTGTGTGCACACTGCCGCTCTTCCCCCTCCCCCGCACTAGGGCCATCAGCTGATTGGCGCAGGGACGGAGAGGAGGAGGGGCAGGAAAGCACCACGCCGGGGAAAGAAGAGGGGGAGGGGGGAAGCTTGGCTGCTGCACAACCAAGCTTCTGCCTGCTGCCCCCGCAGGGGACAGCGATGGGCCAGGGGGTGGAGGGTGGGGGGAGGACTGAGTGGGGCCAGGACCGCGGCAGGGAGCTGCGTGCCACTCAGAATCGGCTCACATGCTGTGTTTGGCACACATGCCATAGGTTGCCGACCCCTGGTATATACAAAGAGAGAGCGCCCCCAAAACGTTTATATAGATCAGGGGTCGGCAACCTTTCAGAAGTGCTGTGCCAAGTCTTCATTTATTCACTCTAATTTAAGGTTTGGCGTGCCGGTCATACATTTTAACGTTTTTAGAGGGTCTCTTTCTATAAGTCTATAATATATAACTAAACTATTGTTGTATGTAAAGTAAATAAGGTTTTTAAAATGTTTAAGAAGCTTCATTTAAAATTAAATTAAAATGCAGAGCCCCCCAGACTGGTGGCCAGGACCTGGGCAGTGTGAGTGCCACTGAAAATCAGCTCGCGTGCCGCCTTCGGCACGTGTGCCATAGGTTGCCTATCCCTGTCCTACAGCATGCCCCTTTTCCCTCTGCTCTTCTCAGAGTCTCCCTGAGCTTTACCGTAACTGTCTTGAGATTGAAGAATTTGGACTTGGGTGCCTCTGGTTTCTCTCCTGGCCCCGGTTTTTCACACACATTCACAGACTGGACAGACGAGCAGCAGGAAAACAGCCTGGACAGACATGCCTTAATACAAGGGAGAGAGAGAAAAGTGACCAGGGCTCACCTGTGTGCCCTCCCCTTGGGAGACGGGGGCTACAGCCTGCTGTAGATACCCTGTTTCCCCCCTACTTCCAAAGATTCCACACTGCAGCCATCACCATCCTCCCAGCTGAGAATGGTTTATAACCCTCTCCCTGTACTCATCTGCAGCCGTCAATGCTGAATGACAAGGAAGCCCTCTGCCATTCCCCTCACATGCAGAGTTTGATGCCTCACAATGCTTCCTGCAACTGGTGGATCAAGGAGCAAGACATCCTCGCCTGGGTCCCCCATCTGGTAGCGCACCTACCACGAGGGAGCCAGATTTAGCCTCTCAGCCCACAGGGGAGTGTCCACACTCAAATTTTGTACCTGTTTTCAAATTGTGGTGCAATTACTCTGGGATAAATTATAGTGAGCAGAGGGCTCATGTGTTTTCATCGCTGTTAGGAGATTTTCAGAACACAGTGCCAAGAACGCCTGAGCTGTGTCTGCATCAGCTTGTACTTCTGTGTAGCTGCACCATGGCCTAAAAACATGCACAAACTTTTGAAGCACAAACACATTTTAGGAGTGAGACTGGAATGAAGATCAAACCCGGCTCCTATGAAGCCCCGCTAATCCTTTGGTCAGTGAGATGGTTTATCAGTTGTACTTTTAAAAGCAATGATATCCTACAACTCTGGGCTAACTGAACAAACTTACACCAGTTTCCTTGTGGAACTGGTGTAACAGAGTCCCTAGACTTCTGCCTTGTAGGACCAATAAGCTTCAGAAGCACTGCAGCTCCCTTGAGGTTAAGGAGGTTGTGTGGGCAAATCTGTGGCAACTCCCCAAGGTTATTGGATATGTCACAAGATGGGAGGAGCACCAGGCAAATTTACCTTTCTTACAGGCAAGAAGGAAGACATGGGCTTCAGTGATCCCCCCTGTAACTTGTAACGAGGACAAAGGGTGATTTTACAAAACTCGTTAGCTAGTCAAGGTGAACTTTTGGCTCCACACTATGGTTGTCTGACTAGCTAACATGGGTTTAAAGGTATTAAACTGCATCTACACTAGATCCCAAGTGGTATTTCAAGTGGGGTTAGCTAACAAACAAGACACATTTTTCCTTATTCTAGACAAAACCTCAGAGGGAAGCACGGCCTTTGCTGAGTCATCGTCACCCTCTTCCTGCACCACTGTTTGGTCCGTGCAGCTCTCCCATACAAGATACAGTAACTCCTCACTTAACGTTGTAGTTATGTTCCTGAAAAATGCTACTTTAAGCGAAACGATGTTAAGCAAATCCAATTTCCCCATAAGAATTAATGTGAGGGGGGGAGGGGTTTAGATTCCAGGGAAATAAATATACACACACTCAGACTTGTGTGTGTGTGTGTCTATATATAGACACACACACACACACACACAAAGTATTAAACAAACAATTTAATACCGTACACAGCAATGATGATTGTGAAGCTTGGTTAAGGTGAAGTCAGAGGGTGGGGTATTTCCCAGGGAATGCCCTACTGCTAAATTATGAACTAGCATTCGACTGAGGCCTCAAGGGTTAACACATTGCTGTTAATGTAGCCTCACACTCTACAAGGCAGCACAAACGGAGGGAGGAGACACAGTAAACACATGACAGTGGCTGCAAACATTCCCTGCGGAAACTGAACCCACGCTATCCCACTGGAGCGCACCACTCTCTCCACTTTCCAAAGTGCTGGCGGGGAGGAAGTGGGGGGGGGGGAAGGAGTGTGCGTGTGAGAGAGAGAGAGAGAGAGAGGCATGCATTGCCCCTTTAAATACGCTGACCCCACTCTAAGTACACTGCCTTTTTAAGTAAATTAGCAAGTTGAGACAGCAGCTGCTGCCAGCAAGCTCCCTCTGTCTCGAACCCTGTTGTGTGTCCCCCGGCTCTGTGGAGATGGGGTACAGGAACGGGGGTCAGGGGGATACCCTGACATTAACACCTCTCTTCCCCCCACCCCGCACAGCAAGCAGGAGGCTCTCGGGAGCAGCTCCAAGGCAGAGGGCAGGAGCAGCACACAGCAGCGGGGGGGGGGGGGGGGGGGGGGGGGGGAAGGAAAA